CTCACATGGAATACTGTTCCCATCTCTGAGAGGCTTCCCAGTGTCTGCTCCTTCCACTTGACCGCATCCAGCGCAGAGCAGCTCGAATCATCGACAACCGAGTTCTTTCCGATCGGCTTGACTCACTGGCACTACGAAGAGATGTTACTTTGCATATTTTATCGTATCTACCACGAGGAGTGCTCTGAGGAATTGTTCGGACTAATTCTAGCCGCTCTATTTCGCCATCGCACATCGCGACAAAACTTGCGATACCATTCATACCATCTGGATGATTGGCGGTCCATCACTGTGCGATTTAGAACCACTAGAGATTTTTCCGGACCGATACGAATTAGGGACCTTCAAGAAAAGAGCCTACTCTTTTTTAAAAGGCCGGCAACGCATCTGCAATTCCCCTGGTGTTGCAGTTGTTCATGGGCGGCGGTAGTCACGGCATGCTCGTTTGCTTAATATTCTATTCTAAAAGTTCTGCTATAAAAATATAATACATAGCAGAAATAAATATTAATAGGTTTTATTTCAATCGAGCGTAAAGGTTACATGCACTTATTTATTTGTTTTTCAAATATACCTTATTATATTTAAAAAAGAAGTAAATAAAAATTACACTAATATAATCAATCATATTAAAATTTCGATTGAAATTAATTATATTAGTCCAATGATTAAGAATATAGCATTACTCATCCGGTTAACAGTGTTGCCATAAAGTAATTATTGTTTATAGAAAAAATTGAAAAAGAGAAACATGCATATAAACATATAAACAGCATAGTATAAAGAGAGTCTAACAGTTGGGAAACGAATGTACTTGTGAATGGCCTTGCGTGGCGGAGGGCGGCGCGACCTTGTGAGTCTGCTTTACAAATACATGTGGTTGACGCAACCGTGTTTTATAGTACATACTTATTAAAAAAAATATAATATATACAACACGTAACATAATTAACGCACTTTGAGAAAGTAGTTTGTTCAGAATCGTTTACTGAATCGATTTCTATCATTTTTAATATAGGTAATTTTTTTATCCCAAAAATAATTGAAACTACGTAATTTACAGTCACACTAAACCTGTACAGTCGAACAAACTGAAATGGACCGTAACTCAAGGCAATAAGACTTTTAAAAGTGGAGTTTCATTTGTATTAATACAAATTCTGTCATTCAATACAAAATGAAGAAAATTGAACCTTATTTCAAGTATGTTAAAGTTTAAGTTTAGTTAAAGTTTACAAATACAGAGTTTGGAGTGCCAAGCGGCGGCGGCGTTAACTCGTCTCGAACGCGAGCGAAGGCTAGCAAGACCTATACCTAGCGTTCGTTATTTTGCACGGTGACCACAACATTCTTCCAGAATTAGTATAACTAATTTAATAAATAATCAATGCATAAACATGTTGAACTAAGAATTCAGTGTATGTATTATGATTATAACATAATATACTAATTGGGGTGTCTGAGGATGTGCGTTAATTACGTTAAATGTTGTATAATGAATAATTACTGTTATAGTTATATGAGTTACTAAGTTGAATTCAAACGACGGCCATGCTTGTGTCCCTCATTTTTTTTAAATAATATTATTCATCCCAATGCGCCTACACCACATAATTAAATTTAACAATCGAAAACTGAAAACATCTATAAAAAGAAAGTGTTACGAAATTATTTGGCAGTGCAACACTTGTAAATGTATTTTTTCTTATAGTAATAAAAATGATCTTGTTCAATAAATGATTTAACTTATAAGTATGTACATAATGTTAATAAATGATTACGAGTATTATAATATCCAAATTTCCAATTCCGTGACAACCCCTAGCATATTTGCGATGACGGGTTAAATAGTAAATTAGTTATTTAACAAGGGCAGCGGCATAAGCAGACATCAAAGGCGTTTCCAAACTGTATACTATCTTTAAACTGTTTTAGTACCACGTGTAATAAATACTAACTAATAGCGAGTCACCTCGGCGACTAGACGGAGCAACGATGGAGCGCGGTATGACGGAGTACGGAGTCTCCCCCCGAGCCCGCGATGCCTGCGGTAGTACCGGTCGGCTTCGCTTGCGTACCGGTACGCCCGTTTAGGAGTGTCACGTACACGTAGCTTGCTACATATTTATCTATGCGTACACAGAATCAGTTGCACGCTTTTTGTGTTCACCAGCAACATGATATTACTCGATATTATTTTGAAATATTGGGTAAGATTGTATGACGCTCTAAGTAAAATTGAATTCTAACAGCCGTGTGATTGCTTTCGTCACGATTTTTAATTCAATTATATGTAAGGATGAGAATTCATTATATCATTAAATTCAACAAAAGACAATTAAATAAACCCAATAACAAATGTCGTAAATATTTGTCAGACATCTTGCACATATGTAACGAGACGGTTGAATAAGTAGAACCAACGTATAATTTTAACCTGTTTTATTTATTCTGTTCAACCCCCTACCCAATATTTTAACCGGAATTCCTCAAATACTGCTATATAGATAAAATATAGTAAAATTAGATAGGTACCTAACAGCACAAGCCTTTGTTTCCATCACGACGAAACGGGTGAAGGTGCGGAACGCAACTAGTTTTGTAAAGTAGTAATTAGTTTGTATCTATTTATAAAAAATAAATAGATAAAATATTATTATCTAAGGAAATGTTTTTGTGAGAACCCTTGGTACTTGGTCAGTATTTTAGCAACTCGACGTCGAGATAACCTTGTAGGTGTTTTGCGGTATAACAAAGGAGTTGACCTACTATTAGTATTTATTACATATATGGTAGTACTACTGCTCTTTAACTACTAACTATTTACCATTTAATGACAAGAGAATCCACCACCCCTTGTCATGCAGTGGGTGTCTCAGAATTTCCTGATAACAACTATTATATAATAAAAAACTGCGATTGCCAGCCCGCCTGCCAAGCGTGCCTACTGACTGAACTGACTCGTCCATCCATCCTTATATTTTCAGCGGAACGTTTAATAGGCTGTAATCTATACATATAATAAAACTGTAAATAGCAGATGTCTGTACATTTTATATTTTTGTAATAAAAGTGATTGAGGGGTACTAAAAATAAGTAATTAAATACATTTCTACCATTTTTAGAATTTTCTGTCTGTCTGTCTGTCTGTCTGTCTGTCTGTTTGTTTGTTAACGTATCACGTTTAAAGTACTAATTTATATCATAAGAATCGTTAAGGAAATTCTAAAGTGTACCTTCGGGTTACATTTAATCTTTATTTCATTAAAATCGGTTCATTCCATCAAAAGTTATGATAAATATTCTGAAGTATGGCTACAAAGTATAGGTACGAATTTGTTCAATGGTGGCGTTTGTTGAGTCATCAAGTACATTTTAAACTAATATCATATTATAAATCATAACATAATTAAATGATGTAAAATAATGTTCTATAATGATGAAATTATATCTAAAACGCAGTACTTAAACAAAAGTATTGCATAAAGAACGTAATAAATATATTAAAAAATATATTAACCTTATTATGTAAATCTAAAGTACAATAGTTAACCCATTTCATCGATAGATGGTGGTTTTGCACAAATGTCATGCAAGAAGGCAGGTTGTGGTTTTTTTTCTGTAAATGACTTTTCATATTTGCTGTTAATCTTTAAATTACTCGCTGCCCTACTGTGTATTGACAATATCATTTATTCTTTACCGCCGAGTACTCTACATGGTAAATCAAATTTTAAAAGAGCTATTAACAATTTCATTGGTTTCGGCGAGGATCAAACTTTCTTTCTTACTTACGATGTAGGCCTGATTTATAAGTTCTTTTAAGTTTTTTTATTGTATCAATCGCGTCAATTAATCTCTTTTATTTTTAGAATTGATTTTAACAGCGCCATCTATCCTTATATCTCTATACATGCGGTAATCACATGCTGTGTCTGATTCTGTACATTGTATAGTATATTAATTTGTGACTAAAATCATTATGGAGACTGAAACTCATTAAATAAGTACATTTTTATAATTTTTAGAATTGTCTGTCTGTCTGTTTGTTTATGAACGCATCACGTCTCACGTAAACATCTTTTTTTCAAAGAAATTGTTTAGAAAATCATAAAGCGTATCATCCAGTTCAAAGATTAACTTTATTTATTAAAATTGGTTAATTCTATCGAAAGTTTTGATTATTATTTTGAAATGTAGGTTCGATTTGTTTAAAGGCGCCATAAAACCTCAGAAATAGTAATAAAATGATTCCTTTTTATAAAAAAACGTTTTATTATAATATATTTATACTTTAAACACAGTAAACAAAAAATATGTTTTCCTTAAATTAAAAAAGGATGTCTTCCACGAAGAACGTAATAGATGGCGTTGTACGTTAACGAGTCCATTCAAGCTGAAAGAGCCGTGTAATGTGTAAGCTAACAGCACAAACATCATCAAAAACAGATATCAGAAAAAAGATACGTACGCCCAAGCTAAACGTAGCAAAATTGCATCAAAAACAATATGTCATGATGTTGTTTTATACCAAGAATCCACCTTATATCAAATAACTTTCCTTTCAGTTCTAAGCGTGTTCTGTTCCCACTTCCCATTCCCAGTCAGCGTGTGTTATGCGATGACCGATGACCGTAAATAAAGCGCAAGGTCAAACTTTACGCGTTGCAGGAGTAGACCTCAGTACTGACTGTTTTGCACATGGCCAACTCTATGTTGCTTTTTCCCGCGTTAGTAGCTCCCGTAACATTTTTCTGTACACCCCGGCTAAGTCTACTTCTAACGTCGTTTACACAGAAGTTCTATCACAAACGACTCAGAACTTTGAGCATAACGATTTATTTTGGTGCCACTTATTCATACAGTAATGATATAAATCTTTTAATATTCTCTTACCTAAACGTCAAATTCTTTAAGTAAAACCTATATACGCGAGCTACGCCGCGGGCACAGCTAGTCAGTTAATAAAAGACTGATTCGAATACACTGTAATTTTGCTTTTAAGTGGACCCATTGCCGTCACTAGCAACTTGCTCTAGAATATGTTTTATGATTTGATCAATTGTATGTGTGTCAAGCATACGAGTGATGTTTTTATCCTCAATCACATAGACGAATAAATGCTTGGCGTTTTCTCGCAGGCGCTGCACTCTGGTCCACTTGTCACGATCCGCGGCGCGAGCACCGCAATGTTCTATTACTTTTTCTAACATCTGTAACAAAAAAGATATAATAAAAAGTCCAGTAATATTAACGGTATCGGTAAATAACTAGAATTTATTCGCAAGTATGTTAAGTTAGTGTCCATATTTATAATAATGAAAGATTTGTAAATAAATATTCAATGATTATCTCAAAGCGATCACATATTTTTTTTTATATTTCATGTTCAATAGACGAATATTTCCGAAACAAACTAATATATAACTAAGATATAAGAGGTATCATGTGGTGATTGCGACGTAAGAGATTCTCATGACCTTATTAAACCTCAACTATGAGATGACATAGAGGACAGTGTAGCAATCGCGTATATACTTTAGATAAAACAAGCTTACTGCGACGAACAGAAGTATCAAAAGTACGACATATCTGCTAAATAGATTATTCATAGGTGACACTCATGATAATTACTGCAATATATTTTACAGGCTGTCAAAACGAAAGTACAGTAGGAATCATATGAGAATCCGAGCCAATGACATCATAGTTTCAGATAGTTTAAAGGTAATGCTCATGGTTTGCGATAGGTAGCGCCATAACCATCTCGTTTATGCCAGGCGTAAAATACCCGTACTGACGAAGAGAAGTGGCGTCAACTGTTGGACACGTCTGCAACTGTAATCGTCAACCTGCCTGCTAAGCTTGACGATTAAGACAAAGTTATCCCTACGACCAGAGAGACCCATGTCTATGAACTATTGCGGACTGATGAAAAAGTATATAATTAAATACATAACACATATTTGCAACATAATAGACTTGATATGTCAATCGTGAATGATTTGTTTATTTGACCCGGGTCGCATCAAAGCATTGATGATTGCAATTACATTTTTTGAATGTTCCGGATCAAACGATTGACGGGACCTACGACCAGAGTATAAGTAATGTTCGACGACCGACATTATCGAGCGGTTCTCACAAATCACAGAGTACTGAAATTCGAAATGATCCATTTGAATAATCTACCCAAATGAAAAAATGAATGAATGACACATGTCTACAACATAATTAAGGTAAAACAACATACCGTGTCAACAGTTTCGTCTGGCCAGCCGAAGACGTCGAGAGTCTTCTTATCAATAAGCTGTTCAAGTAACTTTTTGAGGCTATCTGCAAGTTCTTCTTCTGACATTAATGGATTACTTTCATTCTGCAATAAACATACTTAAAAATTATTTTTGTTGATAAAAACGTTTCTATTGGCCGATAATATTTATATAGTGATTAGATTTGGGGCAATATTATTAGCTCAGTGGCACATTATATTAATTTTCTGTTTTAGACCCCTAAACTCATCTCACATATGGTAGGCGTTGGTCAGTTTAATATTTACCAAAAGGTATTGGGAAGTTATTTACAATCTTATAAAGACATTTTATTGCACTACGCTACTCAACTCACGTGAATTTTAATCACACGGTGAGCAGAATGAGGCTTGAATAACCTTTTATTGTTGTGAAATGTTGAACGTAAATCACACACACTGGTGTTGAGGAGCAGTATTACCAGTCTAAGGAGTTTAATTCTAGGCTTTCAGACTCTCCTTGGAGCATGTATTTTCACTAGCAGTCCAATTGCGCAGATATTTATTACACAAAAGCGCACCACTTATACGTTATACGTTAAGTTGCCGCCAAAACTCCGAGACATTTTGCTTATTTATTTTTTAATACTTAGTAAAAGTCCACTGCTGGACTAACAGCTATAATATGTATGTAAAACCACGTTTCTGGTTGCAAATGCATATTCATATGCATGCGTGTTCTCACAATGAATTTGAGTATACTCGTAGTTTTGGCGTCCCTTGAAATGAACGTAGCGCTCGGTCTGTCTTTCTTTGTTATCTAAGAGTATCTTAATTTTTTTTTAAACTAGCGGTCCCTCGCGACTTTGCCCGCGTGGAATTTACTACGATTTCATGGGTTTTAATCTTTTGCGCGGAACCCTAACTCTTTTTCTAAAATGAAAGTATCCTAAGTTACTCCTTATAACATCAGCTATCTGCCAATGAAAGTCCCGTCTAAATCTGTCCAGCCGTTTCGGAGATTAGCCGGAATAAACAGACACACAGACAAAAATAAAAAAATGTTTATTTTGTTATTAGTACCGTATATACGTTCATATGCATTTAGTGAAAAGCTGTAATTTTAACATTACAAACAGACACTTCAATTTTATTTATTTGTATAGATTATGCTCAGTCAGCAGTAGACATAAAAGGCTTACAATACGGACGCAAACCTACATTACAATACATTACAATATTAGGTATCAGTATATTCTTTGCAGTTAAATTATGAGCATTCTCAATTAACTTAACTCAATAAATTTAAGTCAAATGAAGTAATGTCATACCTTTAATTTTTACCATTAATCATATTAAAAAAAAAAACTAAAAATACACAAACCTTTAAAACGACAGCTGTTTCATCACTTACAGACTCATCTTGTTCCATCATGCCACCGTACAGGACGCCCGTCCCGTATCCTTCCAAAATGCGCTCTGATTCTGCATCTAACACATTCAGAATCGCCTCTAACTCCGACTTTAACACCCTTTCTGTTCCTGCGTTCAAACCCTGTTAAACCAATGTGATTATTAACTATCGAGGTGCAGAAGTTGACTAGGTGATAGGACGCCATTGCCTAGGAACCCCTATGCGTAGGTACTACCCTCGTAGCTATTTCTGTCACCACATAGCACTGCTTGCACTGTTGCTGTGCCGGTACAATTACCTAGTCCTCTAAAGTGACAACGCATCTTTGAGGCTGACAAAATCGGTTTCAATCAAGGTCACTAATGAGCCTGTAAGCACTTATCTTTACTGAGTACAACGTTGTTAGATGACATTTTGCACCACCATCTTCCTGATAACAGCAAAAATACAATAAAAAAACTGCGGTTGCCAACACGCTCGCCAAGCGTGGCAACTATGGCAAATACCCCCCCTATGAATGTAACAAAAAGACGGCCCCCAGTCCCCGGCGGCCCCGCTATTCCTGGCTACGGTGGCGATCATGGTAACGGCGGGGCAGGGGGTGCTAAGAATCTCCGGTGAAAGTTCGGTTGCCACCTACGACGACTCGACCTGGCAACATACAACGCACGCACCCTGAGGACTGACGAGAAAATTGTGGAGCTGGAAGAAGAGATAGACAAGTTACGCTGGCATATTATAGGATTATCCGAAGTCCGAAGAGAGGGGGAGGAAACGGTAATCCTCGAATCCGGCAACTTGCTCTATTACCGGTAGGGCGACCATCTGTCCCAAGGAGGTGTCGGATTTATCGTCCACAAGTCTCTCGTTAACAATGTTGTAAAGATTGAGAGTGTGTCGACGAGGGTTGCGTACCTTATACTCAGAATCACCAAACGGTATTCGCTGAAGGTCATACAACTTTACGCACCAACCTCGGCACACTCCGATGAGGAGGTGGAGGAAATGTATCAGGATATCTCTAGAGCCATGTATTCCTCCAAAACCCAATATACGGTGTTAATGGGAGACTTCAATGCAAAACTAGGCACAAGAGAGAACGGTGAGCTGAAAGTAGGGAAATTTGGAATAAGGCAACGGAACCCAAGGGGCCAGCAGCTGGCCGACTTCATGGAGAAATAGGGACTCTTTATGATGAACTCTTTCTTCCAGAAGCGGCCCCACAGGAAGTGGACCTGGTCGAGCCCCGACGGTTCGACAAAAAATGAGATTGATTTCATTATGACGACCAGACGACAACTGTTCAGTGATGTCACAGTGATAGCGAGGGTGAAAACCGGCAGCGATCACCGAATGGTTAGAGGCACACTGAACCTAAACGTTAAGTTGGAGAGGTTGTGTCTAATGAAGTCAACGCTCCGTCCCCCTCGTGCTCTGTTCCAAAGTCCCGAAATCTTTCAGCTCGAGTTACAAAACCGTTTTCAGTGCCTAGAAGACTGCAATGAAGTGGACGATATGAATGACAAGCTCGTGGAAACTGTCCATGCGGTCGGAGATAAGTTCTGCAAGACCCGCCGCAGAAGAACACAAAAACTCTCCGATCACACTCTTAATCTCATGGCTGTTAGACGGGAAATGAAGCTACATTCTTCAACAGATTTGACAGCATACATACAATTGAACAGACAGATCTCCAAATGCATGCGGCGGGATTTACGTAACTTCAATACAGCTTGTATTGAAGAAGCGATCGAGCGGAACCAAGGCTCCAAAGTCTTTGCCAGAGATCTGTCTGCCAGAAAGAGCCAACTGTCAAAGCTGAAGACAGAACGTGGCAATCGTTTCCGGGACATCTGAGATTTTGAGTGAGATTGAGAGGTTCTATGGGCTACGTCATCGTTGGATGCCACACGCAAGTGTGAGTAACGATACAAGAGCGAGTCTCATCCGACACTATTCCGAAGATATCCCGGACGTCAGTCTGAGCGAGATTAGAATGGCTCTCCAGCACCTTAAAAACGGCAAGGCCCCAGGCGAGGATGGAATTACAGCGGAGCTTCTGAAAGCGGGTGGAAAACCGGTACTTGAAGTCCTTCAGAAGCTCCTTAATTCAGTCCTCCATGGTGGCATTACACCGGAGGCGTGGAGCAGAAGTGCGGTGGTCTTGTTCTTCAAGAAAGGCGACAATGCTCTCTTGAAGAACTACAGACCGATTTTCCTTCTGAGCCGCGTCTACGTGCTGTTTTCGAGTCATTACGAATCGTCTCGCGCGCAGACTTGACGACTTCCAGCCTCCCGAACAAGCCGGTTTCCGAAAAGGCTTTAGCACCATAGACCACATACATACCCTTCGGCAAATTGTACAGAAGTCAGAGGAGTACAATTTGCCACTATGTCTGGCGTATGTGGACTATCAGAAAGCCTTTGATTCCGTCGAAATTTGGGCGGTGCTGCAGTCCCTTCAGCGGTGCCAAGTTGACTGTCGGTATATCGAAGTGCTGAAGTGTTTGTACAGTTACGATGGGATGGCTATCCGAGTACAGAACCAGAGTACGAAACCTATCCAATTGCAGAGGGTGTAAGACGGGGTGACGTCATATCCCCGAAACTCTTCACCGCTGCATTGGAAGACGTTTTCAAGCTTCTGGACTGGAAAGGATACGGTATCAACATCAATGGCGAGTACATCACTCACCTTCGATTTGCCGACGATATAGTCCTTATGGCAGAATCGCTGGAGGACCTAAGCACTATGCTCAATGACCTCAATAGTGCTTCTCAACGGATGGGTCTTAAGATGAACATGGACAAAACAAAGATCATGTTTAATGTCCATGTCACACCTATGCCGGTAGTTGTTGGGAGCACTAAGCTCGAAGTTGTTGACGAGTATGTTTACCTGGGACAAATAGTCCGACTAGGTAAGTCCAACTTCGACCGAGAGGTCAATCGACGGATTCAACACGGTTGGGCAGCGTTCGGGAAATTACGGCACATCTTCTCGTCAGGTATACCTCAAAACTTGAAAACGAGACTGTACAACCAGTGCGTGTTGCCAGTGATGACATACGGAACTGAGACGTGGTCCTTCACTGCTGGCCGTATGAGGAAGCTCAAGGTCGCTCAGCAAGCTATGGAGAGGGCTATGCTCGGAGTTTCTCTGCGTGATAAACTCAGAAATGAGGATATCCGCAGTAGAACCAGAGTGACCGACATAGTCCAACGGATTAGTAAGCTGAAGTGGCAATGGGCCGGCCATATAGCTCGAAGAACCGACAACCGATGGGGAAAAAAGGTTCTCGAGTGGCAACCTCGTACCGGCAGGCGAAGTGTTGGGCGTCACCTCACTAGATGGAGTGACGATCTGGTAAGATATGCAGGGAGTCGATGGATGCAGGTGGCTCAGGACCGTGCTTTGTGGCATTCCTTGGGGAAGCCCTATGTTCAGCAGTGGACTTGTGAAGGGCTGTAATGATGATGATGATGATGATTTCACATACTCCATTAACGACTAGACTTGCGCTTTGTATAGGGTCAGAAGCTATTATACTCTAAGAGTTATTTGGTAGTATGATATTTACCTCTATCGGTCATAACAACGTAGATATGAGGAAGCAGAAATTATATAAAATAAAAAAAATTGATACACTTCCACATTATTTTATTTATTTGTTTTTTTTTTTTTACTTTTATATTATTTTAAAAACGTTACCTCCACACTGGGATATTCTTCTGTATCGTGGGGGCAGTTTACATACATAAATTTCACAAGGACAAACATCCAGACCCGGAACAATTATTTGTAGCCCATACAAATACTTGTTCCGTTCGGGATTCGAACCCGTGGCCCTTAGCGCAGCAACTCATTGCTAAGTCACTGCGCCACGGGTTCGTCAAACCATTCATTGTATGCATTTCGAACGACAAAGCTCTTTTTTTGCATTGTGTATCGACAACAAAGCGAAAGCAAAACAAACCCATTAAGCATCTGGTTATCCAGTGTTGTAAAGTGGGGGACGGAATCATATCATGTGATTTCTGCACACAATCTCCAGTGTAGAATACTAAACGGCTTCATTTTCGATTCAGACTCAAAAGGGCTAATTTTTTTTAAAGACTTTTAAACGGCGTTAAATATAAAATAATAATAGTTGTATGTATAGTTGCTACAATTAATTATATCCAAATTAAAGTCACACGTAGCCATCAGAGAATGAATCTCTTCCCTGAGTTGAAGAAGAACTCAGTGAAGAGATTATACGACGCCTATGTTCAGCAGTGGATTTGTGAAGTGGTGTAATGATAATGAATAAACATATTTTAAATTCGACAGCGCTTTTGGTCGGTTACAAACTGGTTTTCTACGACATAGACGTGTAACAATACAAAGGAGAGTACATACGAGCACTTGGCGCACGTGCGTGAGGTGGTCGCGGAACACGGTGGGGTGGTGCTGGCGCACGTGGCGGGACATAGACGTGTTACAATACAAAGGAGAGTACATACGAGCACTTGGCGCACGTGCGTGAGGTGGTCGCGGAACACGGTGGGGTGGTGCTGGCGCACGTGGCGCAGCAGCTGCTCGCCGCGCACGTAGGCGCGCGCCGCCACGCAGTACATGCAGCGCCGCGGCCGCTCCAGCGTGTGTGTCAGCACGTGCTTGCGCATGTACGTCTCGCTGTGGAACCGCTTCATGCACACCTCGCACTCGTACCCTACGGACAACACCAACAAAACAATCATATACAATACTACTGTACACGAACAAAACCTTTTCAACAATATCAAGTTTTTTCTATAGAATGGTGTGACAAACTAGCACACAGTCCACCTAATCGTAAGTTGATGCTGGCCTATAGGCAATATCATAGAAAAAAAATCTCCTCTAGTGTTCGTTGAAAGCAGACATATTTGTCAATCAGCATAAAATATCGTAATTTTGATAGAATCAGGCGTTACTTTGCGGAAATCTATTATAATGAGATTGTTATAAACTAATTTGCTTAATTCCGCGTAAAGAAAGAAAATCATGTGTCCTGCCCAGTCTTAAGGAGACCTCCCACCCTCCCTCAATCGCGCGCACTATACCCGTCGCCGTTAATCACAGTACTACCACCCCCAGCACCACCACACTAGGCACGACACACCACTCTCAAAATGCGGCCAGCCTCCGCAGAGTCTACTTCACCTGAGGATACCTCGTGTAGAGGCGAAACACGTGTCGTACTCAAAACAAAATAAAAGACATAGAAATTGAAATATCCCTGATAAAAGATAAACAACTCATTGAAAGTTTTTCGGATAAATCGCCCGACTTTCGCCACGAAAACATCTTCTAAGTCAAAGACCGATGCGATCGTGAGAAAAACATTATTATTGCGGGTATACCAGAAATAAATGAAAAAAATACTAAAACGAGACGAAATTAAAGCATTGGGAGCAACAAGGGCGTTCGGTACCCAAAGCCCGTTTTGATGTTATTGCATTAAAATATGTAATGCGTCATTTAGTATTTGGTGATAAAAACCCATTTCGATCTATCGCTTCTAGGCGGCGTTGGAATCATTTATTTTGAAGGAGGCGCTCCGCCCTTGTTGCATAGATTACAAATGCGTGTTTTAAATTTCAAACACTTTACGTCCTGCAGTTTTTAAAAACTTATTTAAAGTTAAAAAATGTCTGAAATTAGTAATTTTATTGAGTATGATGCAAATTATGACCAGAGTGAATATGTTCCCCCGAAAAAGAAAGAAAAAAAGAAGTTGAATGAAAATTCATGGGAAAAAATGTGCGAAAGGTGAAGAGAAATTTGGGTGAAGAGTACACATCATCTCGGAGTAAAAAGATACCTAAAAAGGTTTTTAAATATATCACCAAGTGTTGTTTCAAAAAGCGTTGTGATATCCTCGATTATCGATAATAAGCTTAGCTTAGCGGTCAGCCATCGCACTGTCTATGTCACCTGAAGATGTCTCGTGTAGAGGCGAAACACTTGTCGTTTTGTCATAAGTGGTGTGTCTTTCCTAGTTTTTTTTTTATAGAATAGGGTGACAAACGAGCACACAGTCCACCTGATGGTAAGTGGTTGCTGTGGCCCATAGACATCTACATCTATCCTCGTTTGCGAATCAAAATGCAGATCCGTTGTCACCCATGAGGACTAAGATGGAATGCCTCTTCTAGAGTAAAAAGGGTCTCCCGTTCTCTACAGTCACCATACGAAACACAACAGCATTAAGCTGATATTTTACGTTGGTATTCTGTGAGAGCGTGGTTCTTCCCCGGTCGAGCCGACCCATTCGTGCTACGACTATACTACTAATATAGCTGCAGCATGGCTCTACCGAGTTATAAAGTGTGTGATGGTAGTGTAGTGGTGTTGGGAGTAGTGGTGCTGGGATTAGTGGTGACGGGGATAGTGCACGCAATTGAGGGAGGGCGGGAGGTGCTCTTCAAACTAGGTAAGACATATCATTTTATTTTATCGAGCGGATGTACGCAAAGTAATTTTTACCAACTTTAATATAATGGATTTCCACAAAGTAACACCTGTTTCTATTAACTATGTTATTGTTATTTACTTTCAAATAAAACTAATTCATATAAGAATCTAAAATAGTTGTTATTTATAGTCTTAAAAACCAGTAATAAACTAAACGCCCCATTTATTTACGGGTTGGGTGCAACAAGGGCGGATAACACATGTAAAAACAATTTTTTTTTCAATAGCATCTAAGTATTTTAAAATGATAATATTATCTGAATCATTAAATTAAATCACAGCACTAATGAATAATCAAGTATATAGGAGTCATACTATAAACATTAAAAAGTTTAAGACATTAAAACTTTTATTTACAATTTTCTCAAAATTTATTTTTACGAGATATGCCCTTGTTGCACCCAATGCTTCAATTAGGATAATGAAGAAGTGATGAAGTTGTTGATATCATTGCATAATGACTGACTGCCCTAAGCCAATTAAATGTGTGAGACTGGGGAAATATGTTTCAAACAAGAGCCGGCCTATCAAAGCTTACTTTAACAATATAGATACTCCGAAATACCTGTTACGAAATAAAAAGAACGTAACCGATAATATAAGTATTTACTCAGATCAAACGCCAGCGCAAAAGCAGTATTTTATAAAATTGAAAGAGGAATTAAGCAAACGAATAGAAAACGGCGAAAAGGATCTCGTTATTAAATATATAAAAGGCATACCTTCAATTGTTGTAAACAAAACCTACCAAAAAACCAATAACGGCTTCACCACAAACCGAAAAATGCACGGATAGACTAAGCTATCAATTAATAAACAATTACGAAAACATTCCATTGCACCTGTCCTCATTAAGATTTTTCTATACTAATTTACGTAGTATTCGCAAAGCTGGTAAACTCGATGAAATAAAATGAATATTAAAAGCAATACCGATGTCTACGCACTTATTAATTTTTACTGAGGCATGGATTTCTTCGGAAGCCGACGCATAATTATATAAGATACCAAACTATAAACATATTTACAACTATAGACAAAATTGCAAACCTGGTTAGGTTTGCAATTTTTAATTTACGTACATAATAGCATTAAATACGATATAATGGAAGATTTATGTGAGAATGGGAATCACTACTTATGGATATACATAAATAAACTATCTTTGAACATCGGCGCAATACACAAACCTGGAAGTTCTAATGTAAACAACTTTTTAAATACATATTCCTCACATTTGGAACGGAGAAGAAGGGCGATTGTGTTTGGAGATTTTAATATTGATCTACTTAGTACAGATAGCAACGTCACAAAATACCGAACTGAAAAGAAAGTGGATATGAAGTATTGAATAAAATTCATAGACTATACATTACTCGTGAAACCAGTACCACAAGCACTATACTGGACCAAGTGATCACTCATTTAGCCTCTCAATAATTGAATCATGTCTATCTGATCACAAGAAATAGGCAACTTAGCAACAAGAACACACAAAACAATTCAATATAAAGCAATTGATTATGAAAAATTATACAATACTAATATAATGGCCCAATATAATAATGAAAATAATAACTTTTACTACCTAGAGAGATTTATGTTAGAACAAATAAACGAAAATAAACTTAAAAAACTGAAGGTAGTCGGGCTAACTATGACAGCAGGACGTCAAACACCTCAGTCCCCCGTGACCACGGGTGCTGGAAAGCACTCGAAACGTCGGGAATATAAAAAATAAGTTAATATACGCGATAAAATCCGTAAAATTAGTTTTATTTAAACAGAAGGTAACTCAATATGTGAATTATTTTACTTATTTTCTCCTCAATAGGCTTGGATTTGGCCAACAAAATTCCTAATATGTACCACATAAATACTGGTAACACCCTTAAGTACGAACATGACTGTACACACGAAACTACACTAAGTGAACTTATACCTTGTACTACTAATGAAATATCAAAAATAATCGATGATCTCGATAGCAACATTAGTACTGGTCTAGATGGCATAAGCACCAAAGCGATTAAATGCCTAAAAAGTATAATTGTAGAAAGGTTAACAAACTGTATAATACAAATATGTGTTTAGCACGCGGTGTTTTTCCCGACACGCTTAAGGTTACTAGGGTTAGTCCTATCTTCACATCCGGAAATAAGACTGACCCAAGTAACTACAGGCCAGTGTCTGTCTTGCCTGTTGTATCAACAATATTTGAATGAGTCATGTATAGCCGCCTAAACGATTACTTAATAAAAAACTTTTTAATTGACCAACAATATGGCTTTTGTTCGAAATCGAGTACTCTTACAGCTGCAGTAGACTTAACCACAAATATGAAAACTCGTATCGATCAAAGGAATTTTGCTTTGGGGATTTTCATTGAGATAAAAAAAAAAGCATTTGACATAGTAAGCCATCATAAGCTACTGCAGAAACTAAACAGCATAGACGTTACAGGCAAGGCCCTCGAAATGTTCACATCATATCTACAAAATAGGCAACAAGCTGTTCACATAGATAATTTTACTAATTCGATTAAAAATGTATCGTACGGCTGTCCTCAAGACGCAATTATCGGTCCATTACTTTTTTTTTCATTCATATAAATAATTTAACCAAAATAGGGCCGACAGGACACCTAACCTTGTACGCGGACACATGTCTTTTATATTTCGATAAATCTACTCACATTATAACTTAAGCTCAAAAAGATCTTGACCTACTCGGAGAATGGTTAAAATATAACCTACTAACAAATCAAAACAATCAAAATCATAAATGATGTTTTTGAGGTGTTAATTATTAATACCTCAAAAACATCATTTATGATTTTTCCACAAAGAATAAACCTTTACCAGAGTTTGCACATCTTACTATTGATAATAAAATAATAAAACGTTCAAGTCAGGAAAAATATCTAGGCCTGTTGGTAGATGACAAACTCACTTGGAGACTGCATATTAATCATGTCAAATCAAAACTGATGTCATTACTAATTGCATTACGTAAAGTCGCAAACTGTATTCCGAAAAAGGCACGTCCAATTATATACAACTCTTTAGTTAAATCATATATCGAATATCTAATTGCGATATGGGGGATCAGCCGCTAAAACTAATCTAAATCCACTTCAAAGAACCCAAAATAAAATTATCAAAGCATTATTTCATTACCATTATCTAAACTCCGACAAAAGTACAACACGAAAAAACTAACTTACTAAATCTGACACAACTATATACTTATTGCACTTGCAATGTAATAAAAAAATATAACCATTAATTCTAATCAATCATACAGTTACATGAAGAAACAACAACACACAACTTAAGAACTAAAAATAAACTCCAAGTAATGACTGCACGAACTAAATATGGCAAAAAAAACTATTGTTTGAGGGAGCAGATCTGTTCAATAAATTACCAGATTTTAATGTCAACTGCAATAACATGAAATTGATTAAAAGTAAATTTAGGAAATACGTACGCACAGTGTAATCTTTAGTAGTAGTAGTAATCTTTTTTAATACATGGTACCTAATATGTATAAGTAAATAACCTAAGACTATATCGCTTCCAGCACTAGAGGTAGATGTGATAATATTATCAAATTATAATAATTACTTTGTATTTCATTATAAGTGAACCATTGTATGTTCTTATGATAAATAAAATTCTTTAAAGCGATATGAAGATGCGTTGTCACCCCTGAGGACTACGACGGAATGCCTCGTATCTAGTAAAAAAAGTTCGCATATACATTTAGATTCTAAATCGAGGATGTAGATGTCCATTAGTAAGGCATCCAGTTACCATCAGATTGATTGTGTGCGAGTACACAGTCAATTGTCACCCTTATTCTACAAAATAAAAATAACTAGTTAAACACATTACTACAGCAATCCAAGCATAGATATGAAATATTGTCTCGACCAAACAAATATGTGAATAAGACTTCTATCAGTCAAGTTGCTTACAATCACTATGAGATATATTAACGATTCTATAAATCTAAAATATAAATATAAAAATAATTATGTAGTAATTTTAATGTTATTTCATAACTTTACTAACGTTTTTCTTTTAAATGTGTTTCAACGTGATTTTGAAGACTGGTGGAATTAACAAATTCTTTTTTTGAGTACGAACAGTGCTCAAACGGACAAAATAGTTTCTGGAGTCCCTTGTGATCTCTTACGTGAATTAGTAATCTGCAACAAAGAATATAATTTGATTTAATTAAGAGATGATTATTAGAGTAATAGTTTGGTTAATGTAATATTATTTTGTTAAAAAAAAAAAAAACAATGCTTGTAAAAATTAACAACTATAGTCTATATTTTAATGAGTATCATTCCTTCTACGTTATCTTTATCGCTCCGTAATCAGTACATAGCTGAGCATGGGCCTCTTATGCAGTAGAAGGAATTTGATGAAACTTTCATTATTTGGTCTACAAACCCTCATCCATCCATCGATCCATCCATTACAGCATATCGTCCACTGCTAAACATACGCTTCCCACATAGATTGCCTTATATTGTCATAGTTGCCACGCTTATTCTGTCAGGTACCAAAGGCAATACACAAGATAATCAAATGTCACCTTTGTATACCCCTCAGAACAAGTATTTTTTAAATGTTATTTATAAGAATCATACAACTAAAATTCGACAAATTTTATTATAATTAGACTCGTTACTAAATTACGAGACTTAAGACTATACGAGAAATAAATTAAGAGAATTTATTTCAAAATGTGCTCTTTTACGCCATAATGCTACTTTCCCAACGTCGTCTTCGCAGATCGATGTAGTACTTGAGAGACCGTGTAGATGGTGCTGTTACAGAATTATTTCATTTTTGTATCCATCTATAGAATTGTATTAAATCTATCTAACCAACATCTTATACAGTTACAGGCAACTAGTGTTCTTACTTATAATTTATTCATCCACCAGCACATACACACACACCCCCACATCATACATACAACAACACTCCTACACTCACATTCACACACTCCTTAATATACACATACAATTTACAAATTTTCTAGAGGTTAAACGTTTTGTAATCTTACTTTTTTGTAATCCTTAAGGGAAGAAGATGGTCATTCCCAACACGAGTATTCTCTGATTACTCACTGGGAAGACTCAGTATTATGTTGTTTAACAAGATTACCGAAATAAATGTTTTTTTTTATAGGATAAGGGTGACAAACGAGCACACAGTCCACCTGATGGTAAGTGGTTGCTGCGGCCCATAGACATATACATCTATCCTCTATTACAAATAAAAATGTAGATGCGTTGTCACCCGTGAGGACTAAATTGGAATGCCTCATTTCCAGTAAAAGGGCCTCCGGCCACCTGCACTCACCAAGCGAAACGCAGAGGTAAACCTCTACTTCACGCTAGTTTTCTGTGAGGTCGTGGTACCACCCCGGTTCGAGTCGGCCCATCCGTGCGACAGCAAAAGCTGCCGCGTGGCTCTACCACTGTTATTATTATATTTATCTATTGATCTTAAACTACTGTTATTTTTTTACTAATGTCTGACTCAGTTGGCCCAATACAATGTCGAGACCTGTGAGGTTAAGGTTGGCAACCACAGTTTTCTATTATTTTGACTTGTTATCATAAAAATGCTGCCGCTCATCTCGTTACATTTCCCTCGTATCACCTCTTACTAAACCGGGTAGTGTATTTTCTTACACCGCAACTACATTGCAATAGTTACAAGCTGTGATACTTTGTCTTTAAGCAGATGGCAAAAAATTGGTTAGCTACTTTTTTAAACACTAAGCAATTCAGCTAAGCTAAGACTTAGGCATGACTTGAATTTCTTCATTAGAGTAAATGGATAGCCTTCCACTACATTATCCGGCTAGTGAATTAGGTGGGATGATTAATAATATTAAGTTGCGCCACTGCATGAAGTTTTAATGTATAAGACCTACGAGTGGCAGTTGCATATTCTGCATGATATAATTGTAAACATTACCCAGCTTTGCTCGGGAAGGCCTTGCCGCACTCTAAGCACAAGTGTCCAGTGTGCTTTTCCATGTGACGATTTAGTTGTATCCGCTGGATATAGGAACGTCCGCAAATGAAGCACTTGTGCGGCTTCTCCTGCACGTGAGTCAATATATGACGGCGCAATACTTCCAGAGTGAACGATGCGTAACCACACTATAAACAAAAAAAAATGTGTGCAGTTCACACGCGGTAGAAATGAAACCTTCATGTGAAATGAAATATTAAGTAAAAATATTTCACGGTAAATTACTTATTTAATAAAGAGCGTAGAAAAATAAGATAACAGTTTAATTTTATAGAAAATAAAAGTAACAATCATTATTTTTAGATTAAATTTTGGCGTAAATCAAAAGAATATTTGCTTTTGAGTAAAAGGGCTTTGTAATAGCGCCATCTAGTTCATTCTATAGGCAAAGCTATTTTTACGAACAAAAATTGATTGACTCTCAAGGTATACACTTTAGTAAAATAAAGATGCATGACTAATTTAATATAAATCGGTGAATTTTGAAATCGTGGATTGTTATGATAATTTTATTCAATATGGTCAATTTGTTTATTTTAGCAGTTAAAATTTATATTAACCATCTTCAAAGCACCGCCACAAAAAATAGGACGTTAAAATTTTGTACAGCCGACTTCAATATAAGTTATTAAGAATAACTCAAAAACTATTGGTCCGACCTTGATAAAATTCATATGGGACCACACGAGAAGTACCAGCTTTCAAATAAAAAAAGACTCGTCGAAATCGGTTCACCCAGTAAAAAGTTATGAGGTAACACACATAAAAAAACATACAGTCGAATTGAGTACCGTCTCCTTTTTGGAAGTCGGCAGATAATAGGAAACTGATTTCTGCTTCTATCACTGTTTATGTTTATGTTTTTCTCTATTTAGTGTCGCTTTTTGTTTCATCGAGTTTCAAATTACAACAATTCTAAAGTTTTCACCTCAAAAATCTCTTTATATTTTCTGCCGACTTCCAAAAAGGAGACGGTACTCAATTCGAGTATATGTTTTTTTTTTATGTGTGTTACCTCATAACTTTGTACCGGGGGAACCGATTTCGATGATTCTTTTTTTATATGAAAGCTGATAGTTCTCGTGTGGTCCCATATGAATTTCATCAAGGTCAGACCAATGGTTATTGAGTTATTCTTAAATAACTTATATTGAAGTCGGCTGTACAAAATTTTAAATTATATATACTACATTTCACCTGTTACTGATTAACCCGAAATAACGACCTCCTCTATAAAAGAAAGCCTCTTTCTTTTATAGAATAAGGGTAACAAACGAGCACACAGTCCATCTGATGGTAAGTGATTGCTGTGGCCATCTAAAGACATCTATCCTCGTTTGAGAATTAAGCTGCAGATGCGTTGTCACCTCCGAGGACTAAGATGGAATGCCTAGTTTCCATTTAAAAGGAGTCTGCGGTTCTCTACACTCACCATACGAAAAACAACAGCATTAAGCTTCTATTTTACGCTGGCATTCTGTGAGAGCGCGATTCTTCCCGACTCGTCTGTGCTACAACTATAATATAGCTGCAGCATTACTACGTATAAAACTAAGCTAGTGGCAAAAATAAGTTATTATCTGCTAATAAAATCCCTAAGAAGGAAAAGGCGGACGAGTAGTCCTCTCCCGAGAAAGGGTTGCTATGGGACGGCCGGCGCTGGTGGGACCGCGGTTGTGTGCGTAAGCGTTCCCGTGACCCAGCCAATATGCGGCAATGGTAGAGAACACCATGGGGTTTTAGGCGGTGCGAGTACGACATATCTCGTCCTTGCCCCCTCTGGCAGGTATGCGTAGGCCATTTCCCCATGTAAAAAAATCTGACTTGACCCTGCAGGCCATCTGCGGAACTTCCTGCTATGTTCGATCTCAAAACGCTCGACAAATATTTTTACGAACTAATAATTAAGTCATTACATCAAAAACGATCCGAGCAGAAATTTCTACGTTATTAAAAAAAAAACACTTTTTTTTTACAACGATAACTTTCGAACGGAACAACTGATGTTGATTTAATTGGTGGCAATCGACGATGTATTTCAAGAACAATAATAAAATCTATTATGAAAAAAACGATTCGACTATTAATGTTTTTAAAAAAAAAAAACATTTTTTTAAATTTTTTTTTGAATTGTTTCAAAATCTACCGATCTAAATCGGTAGAAACAGTATTGAAAATCTAAGTTTGGTGAAACTCTTTCCAACGCCACCAAGTGCATTCAAATTGGTCAAGCCATTCAAAAGTTATGAGGTTTGAGAACATAGCGGGAAGTTCCATGGATGGCCTATAGGGTCAACAGATTTTTTTAATGTCTTGTTTGTACAAGTTACACTTGAGTGTTGAGAGTTTCATATTTTTTATACATTTTATTATATTACATAAATTAAAGGATAGTTTTACACTATCTACGATATTTCCTCATTAGTAATAAAAGAGTTTGAAAAATATTAGCCACAGAAAAAATATCTCTCTACTTACCCCTTATGTTATTCCAAGATAGCATTAACATAAATTATAACAGGTACATCAATAAACGTTTTTTAATTTATTTTAGTAAATAAAGTTTCTATTTGATTAATATTCTAGACATCTTAAAAGTACAGAATAGATTCAAATGGCGGACTTAATGTTAAAAGCGTTCTCTGCCAAAATAAAATTAATTGAAAAACAACTGCAAAAGAACCATGCCCACTTTTCATACATTTAAAAACCTGATAGTAAAAGTTTATGTATAGTTATAAGGTATAATAGAAAAACTTCCTGTAAGTTTAGAAAATAATGCCATGTAGTTATTTTACGATTTAAACGCTACGAAGCCCAAAAATATTAATGATACTCTTTAGGTTAGGATTTGCAATTACCAAATACGAGGGGTGATCCAAAAGTAATGATAATGAAAATAAAACACGGTAATTAAAGTTAAAATAATAATTTATTTTTCTACATAGTCTCTTAACAAATCAATACATTTAGTCCATCTTTTTTCTAAACCCAATATTCCCTTTAAAAAAAATTATTTGTCTTGATCCTCCCAAAACGCTTCAACAGCGGCCATTACTTCGCTATCGTCTTCCAATTTCTTGCCTCGGAGGTGTTCCTTGAGCCGAGGAAAGAGGTAGAAGTCACTAGGAGCTAGATCTGGCGAATAGGGAGGGTGTTCGAGCAGTTCGAATCCCGTTTCTTGAATGGCAGCCATCGCAACTGCGGCTTTGTGAGCCGGTGCGTTGTCTTGGTGAAACAGCACTCCAGCTCGCAGTTTGCCGCGTCTTTTTTCCTTAATGGCCTCCCGTAATCTTCTTATTTGGTCTGCGTAGTAAGAGTCCGTAATAGTGGCTCCCTTTTCCAAATATTCCACCATAATTATGCCTTGAGCGTCCCAAAAAACAGATGCCATAACCTTTCCCGCCGAACTTGAAACTTTGAATTTCTTTGGCGTCGATGAGGAGGCTCGCTTCCAAGTCATCGATTGTTGTTTCGTTTCAGGATCAAAATGGTGGATCCAGGTCTCGTCCATAGTCACAAAACGGAACAAAAAATTTTCTTGATCTGCTTGGAACTTTTCGAGATTGACCCTCGAAATGTCAACTCTATTTTTCTTTTGCTCGTCGGTTAACATTCTGGGTACCCAACGCGCAGAGACCTTTTTCATATGCAACTCGTTCGCAAGGATTCTTTAAACGCTGCCATATGAGATCCCTGTGACCTCAGCTACATGCCTGATGGTCACTCTTCGATCTGCCAACACAACATCTTCGACTTTTTTCACGTTATCTTCAGTGAGGGACGTGGATGGGCGTCCTTCGCGATGTTCATCTTCAGTGGATGTTCTGCCCAGTTTAAACTCCTTGGCCCAGCGTGCAACTGTAGAATATGGAGGAGCAGAGTCCGCCAATGTTTCCACTAAGTCACTGTGTATGTCTTTTGAAGACATTTTTTTCAAACAGAGGTACTTGATGACAGCTCTAATTTCGTTTTTCTCCATGTTGATGTTATCTCTTTGACAGTTCGTATTCAAATGAATGTATCTCCCGAAAATCGTGATCTATTTATAGGATTTTTTTAGGCTGACGTAGTGAGTATATAAGCAAGCAAAAAATATTTTTTTTTGGATTTTTATGCGGACCTGAAGTAACCGATTATCATTACTTTTGGATCACCCCTCGTACTTAATTTTTGTTTGATAGAATATTAAAATCTCTTATTAATGTTCTATCACCACTTCCTCTGAGATTATACTGAGAAAAATCTTGTGTATCCCTACATATTTCTATTCTATATGATCAATGAAAAACACACAAAACAGCACAATACACAACCAGATGCAAACACAACAAGTGATTATATTCTCTTTGGCAACAACGAAGGACTGCGCCAATGCCAATCGTAGAACTGTTAAATGTCAAAAAAATCTGTTTCACACGTGTGCACTCAATGTGATACTGCATTATTAATTTATTTAATTATTATATTATTTTTAATTAATCTGTACTATACAAAAAGTAATAAAGAAATATATATGAAAAGGAATATATATAAGAATATAAAGAAATACTTACTGATTAAATAAAATAAATGCTTAAAACTCAGAAACAGAGTTCAATTAAGTCAAGTAGCGAAATGCGAAGTATGTGAAATGGAACGTCCTACAAAAAGTGTAGTTGAGATGCATTCGAAATATGGTGGTAATAAGTTTACCCTTGAAGTAGAATAAGCATAAATAAATATTAAAGATATTTTTCTCCTGCGTTTCTTTTTACATTGTGATACGCGGTTTTAATTTTGAATTAAATTACCTGAATTTTAAAATTTATTTCATTTCTATACATAGTCAGGTGAAAAATGGGCATCCTTCTTTATATCTATGTAGCTGTTTGAGATATCAAATTAAATATTTGATGGGGCTACAACCTATTTTAATTTCATGGCAAGTGAAGCATTACTTTACATGTGTTAAATTCGTACATACAGACTAACAGAAAATCTTTTAACATAAGAAATATGTTCAAAAATTATTTATTATGTTAAAAAAGCTAAAATTTTATACAAGTTGCTTAAGAGCAATTTACTCTTTTCTTTTGTTTTATCTAAAATTAAGTATCTATGTATCAAAATATTCATTAATTCAAACGGTAATTAAAGCCAAAAGTACGCTGGGGCCCTACCCCCATGTAGTATGTGCATATTGTAATATATTTACCACATCACATCGAAATTTCTTCTCTCCATGTATTTCTAAATGCTTTGTTATTGCCGCTCTAGAGCCTGTTACTCTTCCACAGTGATCACATTCATATTTAAGTGGTTTTTCTAAAAAAAAAATTAATGTCACAAATAAAAAATGTATATTTAATTCATGAGTGTAGTTACTCTACCTTGGCAGCCCAGTATCATAACTATAGGAACCCCATATACATATATCCAACTGTAAGTTTGGAATAAGGACACTTCCCAAAAAAAAAAAGCATGCGTGTGTGTCGTGGAACACTCGGTTGGAACGAAGTTCCTTTCGTAGTATATTATTATCGATAAACGTTTTATATTATCGATTAACAAATACAAATAAATGAATTACTAGCGTCTATTAAAATGAAGCGTCATTTAAAATATTTCTTTCATAGTAAGATAAGAAAAAGTGCGAGGGAGATGGATATTATTCCATCTCGCTCGCACTATAGAAAGGGGGTCGTGACGGAAAAATCTTACACTTTTTCTCGCCTAGCCCCCATTCGCCAAATTCGTACCATCCGATAAGGAACTTCGTTCCAATATACTACAATTGACACTGTTCTGCTCAAGAGTTCAGTATTGTACAATCGGAAAATGTTGCCTTGGTCAAAATCGACGTGGTGAACATTTAGTGATGTATGATGATGATCATTAGCTTCACAAACTGCAAAATTTTAAGAGTCATCATTACCAGCTTAGCTTATAAACAGTATGCCGTTCGGTGTTTCTTGATGAGATTAAATTGCCACATTTCTCATATAACTCAACAAATCACCTCACAGGGGTGCCACCTCACGCACGCACTAACACATGTACACACACTTACACATAAAATTTGTGTCAGTCATGAGATTAACTAACTACCTATCTGAAGAATTTTTAATTTTGCCTACATCTACTTTCTTTGTATATTTAATTTGGGGGAAGACACTGACCCACGAGATAAGGTTCCCTTAACATTAAGAGTCAGTGACTTCATAGATCCGCGACTCCGGGGCGCAGTGGCATAACAATTGAGCTTTGTCATTCGAAATGCGACTGGTTTGACGGCTCCGTGGCGCTGCGGCTTAGCAATGAGTTGCAGCGCTAAGGGCTGCAGGTTCGAATCCCCCATGGAGCAAGTATTTGTATGGCCTACAAATAATTGTTCCAGGTCTGGATATTTGTCCTTGTGCAATTTATGTTTGTAAACTGCCCCCACGATACAGGAGAAAATCGTAGTGTGGTGGTTACGTTTTTAAAAAAATAATAAATAGAAGATATTTATAACTTTTTACAAATATGGTGAAATAAGCTTACTATTACTTAATGTTTGTATATTTATTTCATTATTGGATGGAAATGATACCTGAATGATTTTTCAGCACATGATTGATTAATTTTGAGAAATTTTTAGTAAAGTACATGCAGTGTTTACATGTGAATTCTTCTCTAGCAATATGTACCAATCGTAAATGTACCATTAAGTTGTCTTTTCTTGTAAAAGTGGCATCACAGATCTGCAAATAAAAAATTGGTTAATTTTCCTGTGCATTAGTAGTAACATTTAATCATTATTATAATTGAGTGTTAATTAATATAATACATACTTCGCACATATGAATAGCAATTTTTGCACCACATCCCCTTTGACTCATGTGTCTTATGACATGAGATCGACGGGTGAATTCCTTGTTGCAATGGGGACATATATATCTTTCCCTCTCGTGATAATTATCAATATGTTTCATTAAAGTTTCTTTGTCTGGACAGCTTACAGGACAGAGATCACATGTAATACTACCAGGAGTTTTGGAATGTTCATTTTGTAAATGTGCTTTATAGCTTTCTTCAAATCTGAACTTCTTCTTACATTCTTTACAACTGAATGCAGACTAAAAATATAATTAAAATATAATTACAATATAAAATATTATTATAAGCCATTACAATAACTCTAAAACAACTTGTAAAGCAATAGAATAATATGAATGAAGTTCATAATGTTCATATGAATGAAATTCATGAAATTCATCACTGTTTTGTAATATAAATTAACCTTCATGAAATGAAAATTCACCATCATCATCATCATCTGCAAGTCTACCGCTGATTAAAGGTCTTCTTTCAAAGAATGTCACATAGCACAGTCCTGAGTAAACTGCATCCATCGAAATCCCTGCATGTCTTACTAGGTCATCACGTTATCTAGTAATATCTGCATTACACTCCACTCCTTGGTATCAAGACAATTTCTTCTCAACCAGTCTTTCTATAAGCTATATGGTTGGCATTCATTTCTTCAGTTTTCTATTAGCAATAATAAAAGTGGAATGTTTGCTTGGCTAATAGTACTGATGGGAATACTATGGACTATCCACCGTGAAAATAGCAATTTTTATGTTACACATTGTAAAAAATTTTTTTTAATGAGATTAAATTTTATAGCATTATGAATTTGACATTTTAAAAGTATCATAAATTTCTACCCTTACGGGTGTACTTGCATATGAATTAAAACTATTAGCTAACAAAGGTAACTCAAATAAATTATTTTTAAATTCTAAATATTCCTTGATACTGTAATAGCAGTCGTTTAAAATCCATTCTTTGGATATTTTTTAAATACTTTCAAAGGTATATTTTTGAAGTAGACATGCAAAAGTAAAATGTGTGGTTAATACAAAACTTCAGTACGAGATTAAGTCTGTCTTGTGATGTTCTATTATTCCAGTTAATATGGCTCCTCTATATGTAATTAATGCTTGATGACAGTTTATGGTATTGTCAAAATTTGACTTTCAATTGTAGTTCAAAATTTCATATACAATTAAATTAAATAAATATCATAACAAAGAAATACACTTTAAGGAGTAAATAACTATAAAGATATGTGACTGTTTGGTATTTTAAGTCCACGCTCATTTGCATGTAGTGTTAAAATCAGGCTCTTGGATAATTATTATCTATGGAAATTATAATGATACTATTTACCAAAAATTATACTAAGTTTAATTTTTACCATAGTACTGCATTGTTTACAAATCAAATAATTTATAAGTGAAAAAATATCAATTCTCAGTAATCAGGTGACCAGGTAAAGCAATATCATGTTCTAGAAATTTAATAGCAAGCTTAATGGTAGTATTTTCTTGAAATGTAGATCAAGATGAAATAACCGGCTAAGTGCGAGTCGGACTCGCACCTGCATTATTCTGTATCATCGTAAAACACGTTTCTAGAAGGGGAACCCCTTTAATTTTTAATTTATTTTTACTATTTGTTGTTATAGCGGCAACAAAAATACACATTCTGTGAAAATTTCAACTGTCTACCTATTACTACAGTCCACTGACAGAGAGACAAATGGAAGGCGGAGGCTTAGTAATAACATCCCGTTGGTTACCCTTTGGGTACGGAACCCTAAAAAGAATGTGAATGGTTGTACTGCATGGATTCGAGATACATATTTCGTATTGTTTTTCTTTGATTTTTTTTTTATAAAATAGGCTTTATGGCCATCATATAAATAATACAGACTGCATAGAGCTTTAAAATTATTTCGAGGATGAAGAGTAAGCCGCTTACTTAAAAAAAAAAAATTCAATATTCCATTTTCATTGTCTGTATCTTTCTTTTACTTTTCTTCCATCATCATCAATATATCATCAATAATATGATAGGATTCCACTTCTATTGCTTATACACATAAATAAAATCAGCCACCTAGGGCTTCAAGGAGACATATCACTATAAGCAGATGATTCTAGCCTTTTTTAATTCAGGCATTCTACGGAAGCTATATTACCTCGTGTTCAAAATGATTTCAATATATTAAATTAATGCTTCCAGTCTAAGTTGCTTATTATTAATGTCAATAAAACTAAGTTTGTAATTTTTGCAGCAAAAAATAATATCTAATAATGTACAATTTAAAATGAATAATGAATTAATAGAAAGAAAACCACAAGAAAAATACCTTGGCCATATATTAGATTAATATTTTGACTGGAAATCTCACATAGAAAAAATGAAACATAGGCTGTTGCCATTAATGGGGACCATACACAATATTAAAAAAAATATTCCATGTAAAGTTCGGTATATTATATACAATGCCTTAGTTAAACCACACATCGACTATTTAATAGCAATCTGGGGTATGGCAGTGAAAACTGAGAACCATTAGAAAGAGCTCAAAATATACTAATAAAATAAATAATAGTTTAAAAAAACTAAAAAGATACGCTTTTGTAGATAACCAAACTAAAAAGTAGAAAATAATTTTCAATAAGTTAAAAATAAGAAAATATTGATTACTTAACATAAAAAATTCATTTTATTGTAAAGAAGCGTGGGGTGTTTTTTCAGATATTTTTATGATGACGCTAATTTTACAAATACCCACAAAAATATTTACAACAAATGACATCAAGCATCCCACGTTTTTTTACAATTAAATGATTTTTTTTATGTTAATCACTATTATATTAAATTTAATCTTATTGAAAATTATTTTCTACTTTTTAGTTCGGTTGTCTACAAAATTAACTACAAAAGTGTGTTTTTTTCAACAAAGTTCTTTTACGCGGCTTACATTAGATTGAACTGGCAGAAATCATAGTTGTTTTATGAATTATTCGCAAATCCTGAGGATCCTGGCAAGGATAATGGGTAAAACTATTTAAATTATTGCATTGTCATCGGTCCTTGATAAGTGTGTGAAGTTTCAAATCAATCTGACGTTTCGAAGGGGATGAAAAACACATTCAAAAATTACGATACATCGATTTTTTTCGAATCAAAACGCAGATGCGTTGTCACCGGTGAGGACTAAGATAGAATGCCTCGTTTCCAGTAAAAAGGGTATCCGGTTCTCTACACTCACCATATGAAACACGGCAGCATTAATCTGCCATTTTACACTGGTATTCTGTGAGAGCGTGGTCCTTCCCCATTCGTGCTACAACTATACTACTAATATAACTGCAGCATGGTTTCACCATGTAATAAAGATACATATCAAACTAATAAAAGTGTTAAAAATTCTTAAATTTCTAATTCCGAATCATAAAATATATGAGGATACTAAAATTATGAACATTAAGCAGTCATATATGTACAAAACATGCATGACGGCTCCGTGGCGCAATGGCTTAGCAATGAGTTGCTGCGCTGGGGGGCGCGAGTTCGAATCCCGCGCGGAACAAGTATTTGTATGGCCTACAAATGATTGTTCCGTGTCTGGATGTTTGTCCTTGTGAAATTTGTGTTTGTAAACTGCCTCCACGATACAGGAGAAAATCCTAGTGGGGGTAACGTTTTTAAAAAAAAAATATTAATACATAAAATACTAAACAAAAATATTAATACAAACAATTACAAAAAAACATGAAATACAAGTAAAAAATTAAGAAATGCAAATGATTTAGTCACCAAGAGAAAACGAAGAACCAGTTACAGAATCAAGAATATAGAATTTGAAAGTGTTAATATATATAATAAATTACCACGGGATGTAAAAAATTCTAAAAATGTCTACATTTAAAAAGCCATTCAAATTACATATCATAAGACCTACATACATAATTAAATAAATCATAAATATGTAAGTTATATTAATATTAAACAGTTTTCAATAAAAAAAAAAAACAGAAGTTGTTGTAAATATGTTACTTAGCATTAAATTATAGCTTAATTGTATGCTCACTTTGTCACTTCCAGGCTAACTGTTCTAATTCCATTGTACAGTTATACCTTCATTTAGTTTTTTTTTTTGTATTTGGGAACTAGAAGTGAATCATTTAAATTTGGAATTCTACCATCCTTGTGTGTTTATACTTACTGTTTTAAATAGTTATTTCTCTTCAACTCTAATATAATGTCATTTTTTTGAGAAATAAATTCTTAAACCATATGATAAATAGAGATAGTATTTTTGTGTGCCTACTCTAATTCTGGCATTTCGATACTATATAATAATATGAAAATGTACAAATAATCGTACTACGAAATCCAACACTGTTTGCATGTAGTGTCTGATATATAATTTTTTGAAAGCATTGCTTAGGTATCAATAGAATACTGCTCTTATAAAAATGCAAAAATACATAAGTAACTTCAACCTTCATTCTTTCAAAGTATATTTTAGAGCAATTATTGATGTGAAGTTTGAGGGTTGTTAAGATAGATATTTTACAACTCAATTTATCTTTTATTGATTATAAGTTATTGTTTACCAAGTAAGCCAGTAGATAAGCAAGAAACTGTAACAAATCTTTCATTTTACCTTAATAACAATATCTGAGATCACTAATTTTTTCGTCTCTTTTTTCCCATGTTTTGCTGAACGAGTTTTTTTGGTTTTTGAACCAGGAGGTCGTCCAACTTTTTTACGCTTAGGGGGCATTCTGAAACATGAAAAACCCAGGATATAAAACACTCCTTGGAAATATGTTGTTAACAAGTTAACTCACATAAAATTTGGTATTACTTTCACCCAGGCGCTTATTTAATTACGAAAACAATTATGGCCACAGAACACTAATACCCTTAGTGGCCACATATGCTTAAAGGCAGTGCTGCCAGATCAAAAAAAAAGTCAGTCAGCGCTAGAACGACACAAAAAGCGCTAGATTTCATGAAAATAGTGCTTTAAAAAAGTGCTAGATTTCGTGCTAAATTAACTACATTTTTTCTTGAATTATAAATTATAATAAAAAAACATAAACAAAGTTCAACCAAATCGTTTAATTTCGTTATCATCATGATAAAGAAAACAACATTAAGTTTTTTTTTCTGACTATGCTGTTCCGATGTACCAATACTTCGCAGGACATCGACTTATAATTATAGCAATTTCTGTCAACAGCAGTTAGTCCGAACTCCGAAAAGTTAGTACGAACAATTAAAATAACAATCAAAATAACATTAACTGTTTTAAAGTGCATATTATTTCGCAAATGAGTTTTAACAACATTCATTAAACTGAACATACGTTCGATGTCAGCATTTAAATGCGGTATGGTATTGCTACACACTTTCTTTGTGTTGTAAGTTACAGCTTCTAAGTAACTTTTAACTTAAAGGCCTATTACACTATGCAGTATCAAGACAGTCTTACTAAGATTTAGCGTAATGTAATAAGAGTAAGCAAGTTAGTCTGTCTAATTAGACGGACCGAGTGGGTTCGGCCGTGCTTGCTTGCTTTCTTGCTGAATATCGCGTGGTGTAATAAGTAATAACACTTAGCACGCTTAGACCGTTTAGTGAGCGCGCGGCAGCAGCAGAGTGAAGTCACGTTTTTGTTTGCTGTGGCGTGCACAATGGCTTGCTCAAAAGAAAAGGAAGTGATTTTAATCTTATTGATGTGTACCGTGACATGCCATATTTATGGCAGAAAAATCACAAAGATTATTTAAACCAATCACTTCGTGCAGAAGGATTCCGGATGTTGTTAGCAATTTATAAAAACTTCGATGAAAAGGCTACAGAGAAAACAAAAAGAAGTGTATCTTCCTTTTTTTATATGATAAGGGTGACAAACGAGCACACAGTCCATCCACCTGATGGTAAGTAGTTGATGTGGCCTATAGACATCTACATCTTTCCTCGATTACAAATGAAAATGCAAATGCGTTATCACCCGTGAGGACTAAGATGGAATCCCTCCTTTCCAGTAAAAAGGGTCTCCGGTTCTCTACACTCACTATACGAAACACAGCAGCGTTAAGTTGTTATTTTACGCTGGTATTCTGTGAGAGCGTGGTCCTTCCCCGATCGAGCCGACCCATTCGTGCTACAACTATACTACTAATATAGCTGCAGCATGGTTCTACCACGTATGAAATCATCCTTTTGAATATATGGAGTAACTAATATTCAAACTCCATACTTTACACCCATCCATATTTTTCTTTTCTTTTTTGTACTCCAAGTAATAGACGCGACAAGAGCTATGGCGATTTTCTGGTGCTTTGAAAGCCTTCCCATGACACCGCGACAACCGTCACCGGCTACGTAGGCCTTGCAAATGATTTAACATGCTGTATTCAGGACGGTGTAATAGCGAGCTTGTCTAATTAGACTTTAAGACAGTCTTAATAAGACTGTCTTGATACTGCGTAGTGTAATAGGCCTATTAGCTGTTCTCTAACTCTAAACAACTGACTGAAACTGAATAAAGCAAAACAAACGTGTTGCCAAAACCATGAAGGAACACTTTAATAGAGGGGATTTCCCCGCTTATAGTCTATGGGTAAAAAAAATCAAGTTGATCATCCTAAAGGAGGAGCCGAGAGATCCATAGCAAAAGGTGTCCTAGCTTGGACTCCAGTCTCCCACAAATTTATGTATTTTATTTATAAGAAAAAAATATGTTTGTATAAAAGCTTGTTTGTATAAGATAAATTGCAATGTACTATGTATTTGTGGGAGAAAATAATAAAGGTTATTATTATTATCAGTAATGTAGACGAAAAAGTATAAAAGAGATAACCCTCTAGACATTACAATTTTGAAATGTGTGCTAAATACACCAAGCAGCTCTAGATTAAGCGCTAGGTGCTAAAATTTTGAAATGCGCGCTAAACATTCCAAAAAAGCGTTAGATCTAGCTCCCAAAGCACTAAAATGGTAGCACTGATTTAGTGATGCCGATCTGATATCGATTAATTAAAGAATCGATTTTTCAGGCCCAAAACATCATTTTTTAAATCGATTTGCAGTACTATATCGATCCAGTGAATCGATATTTCACCATTGAAAATTGACATTAAAATTGGTAAAAACCATAAAATTATTTAGTTTTATGTATACGTAATATTACGGTGTTGCCGTTTAGAGGGTTAATTACTCAAAACCTCGCGAGATGGCTGTATGCTTAGTTTCCTTCGCTTCCATATAATAAAAAACAATTACGTTTCTAGCAGGGATGTTATGGAGCTCCGTAACCGTAACCGAAACTATCGGATATCCGAAATAAAAAACTATTCGTAACCGTAACCGAATCCGATATAAAAGTTTCGGATAATTTCGGATAAGGGTAGGGGCTGAGTCTAAATGAGACTTGTTATAACAGGTTTCTTTTTTACATTAGCGGCGCGTGTCTCTTACTCTTGCATTGTTTGTTTATTATTTATGTTGCAGTCATACATAAGTCCCGTCAGTCAGTTTTATATTTAGGTACGAGTAATTAGTTTAGTTCGACGAAGTGAAAGAAAAGTGTTGTGTTATTAAATTGTTTACCTAATCTGGACCAAATGCGACCTAAGTCTAGTTTAATTTGGAGATTTTTTAATCAAGTTAATGCAGATTCCGCAAAATGTAAACAGTGTGATAAAACCTTTTCACGAAAAGGAGGTGGCACTACTTCGCTTAAACTTCATCTTAAATCAAAACACGGTGATAAGTACGAAGAACTTTTGTTACTAGAAAAAGATATCCAACAAATACCACATACCACGAAACAGCTGACACCATTACAAGAGTGTAAAAAACAGCTGTCAATAACAGATTCTTTAAAAAATAAAGGCGCCTGGGATGAAAGTAATGTCAAGCAAAAAGAAATTGATAAATTAGTAGCTGAAATGATTGCATTACAAAACTTGTCATTTAACTTTGTGGAAGGTGTCGGCTTCCAAAGATTAATGCAGGCAGCATTACCACGCTATCATCTAAGAGGTCGGCAGTATTTTACTAATTTGCTGTGTACTGATATATACAATAAAATTAAATTAAAGGTGCTGGGATTACTTAAGCAATTTGAAAAGTTGTCATTTACTACAGATGTGTGGTCAGAGCCCAGCTCAAATGTATCGTTACTTAGTCTTACTGCTCATGGCATCACCAATAAATATGAAAGAGTTTCTATAATACTCAAGTGTGAACAATTAGAGGGTCGGCACACAGGTGAAATTATAGCAAATAATTTAAACAATATTTTGAAAGATTGGGGCTTAAGCACGGAATCAGTTCATTGTATTTTACGCGACAGAGGATCTAATATGATAAAAGCTATGAATATGGCCAATTTCACTGATGCAAACTGTACTATTCATCAACTACAATTATGTGTGCGATCAACGATGGAAATCGAAGAATTTCTCTCGTCAGTAATTACGAAGTGCAAGAAAATTGCAACTCACTTCAATCACTCCCTAATCGCGCAAAATGAATTGAAACAAATTCAAACAGAAAGACTGAACCAATCAGGACTAAGTATAATTCAGGAATGTTCCACACGGTGAGATTTTTTTATTCTATTTTATACACCTATCTATTATGTAATTTTTTTTTATTTGATTTGACATTGTTTTTTCTTTTTTCACAGATGGAACGCGACGTATTATATGATGAAAAGAATATTGACATTAAAAGACTCCTTAGTACTGTATTCGGGCGCGCATGATATACCAATTCTTAATGCTGATGAATGGCTCGACTTGAAAAAGTGTGTTGCAATACTAAAGCCGTTCGAAGAAATTACAAAGGAGTTAAGTAGTGCTACTGCAACAATAGCATCAGTGATTCCATTAATATATACTCTTAAAAACACACTAGAAACAGAGAAGAGTAAAGAAGAGACTTCTGAGAACTTCAAATTAATGATTACGAAAATGATCCAAGACATCAATGTCAGATTTCAGGATATTGAAAATAATAAAATATATACAATAGCTACTTATCTAGATCCACGGTTTAAACTCAAGTTTTTTACTGAAATTACGAAGGAACAGGTACAGTCTGAGATTCTGGGGATTCTTGGGTGTTCAAAAGCTTCTCGTGATGAAGGTCCTTCTTCACCTAAGAGATCACGGAATGAGATTCCGACAACAAGCTCAAGCAACTATTCACACATTCAATCTTGTCTAGCTGAAATATTAAGCTTAAGTGACGAGGAAGAGCAAAACATAGATTGTGGTGATGATGTGCACAATCAATTTATTGTTAAAAAGACATTACTAAATGAATACAACAGGGAGAAACGATTGACACTCAATGAAGATCCACTTTTATGGTGGAAAATGCATACCAAGTACCATTGCTTAAGTGATTTAGTAAGACAGTACCTTTCTCCACCTCCTGGAAGTGTACCAAGTGAGCAGCTTTTCAGTGCAGCTGGGTTAATTTATGACCCCTTAAGAAATCGACTTTCTGGTGATAAGGCTGCGAAATTGCTTTTTGTTAAGTATAATTTACCTTTGCTTAGTTTCGACTATTAAAAGAAATCATTAAGTGAAAGACAAGTAAATATTTTGTTATGTTATGTTCAGATTTTAGTTTTTATTCTTCAATATGCAAAGACTTAAGAAGACTGATTTATGCGTTGTAATAGTTCCTAGAAATATATTGAAGAATATAATAGAAAAAAAAACTAATAGCATTGTTTTTGATTATAATAATTTTGTA